CCCCCCCCCCCCCCCCCACACACACACACACACCATGTTAATCTTGATTCCTAGATTTTAAAATAAGTATTTTTTACAGCATGTAGTTTTTGAATATATAGAGGATCTTTTTATTTTTTAATCACATCAATTTTTTAATAAACTAAATAATAAATAATTACAGTCAAATATACAAGCAAGTTAGAGTGAGACAAGAGGTCAGGATTATATTATTTTATCAAATGATCTAAAAATAAAGATATAATTTAGACTTGTGAATAATAAACACATTCTGAGTAGACCTTTTTAGGACAAGCGAAAAATATTTGGCATCTTTTTTTGCTAACCCAACAAAATAAATGTTTGCTTTTATATGAAGTTTTAATCTGGTCATGCAGTTCTAAGTATTGCGATTAAAAGAATATCCAAATTGGTGAGGTGTTTGGAATCTCAAGTGTGATATTCTGACAAATCGGTCGGGTTCGGACTTCGAATTCAGATCACTTCAGGTTTGGGTAAATTTGGGTTTCGGTTGAAAATTTTATGTTCATGACCTAATACCTTTGGGTTCGAGTCAACCCAATAGGTTATGACTTTAGCTTTTAAAATTTTTAAATTCATATTAACACTTATATTTCACATTACATAAAAATAAAATATTAAAAAATATGTATTAAATCTATTATAAGATTTTATTTTAAATTTTGAAGTAATTTTTAGGTATACAATTCAATATAAAGAATTACAGAGTAAAAAATGCATGACTTTCGAAAAAGAATAAGATAATCATGCAATATCATTAAAATTTTATCTGAAAGTATAAATTAATAAACTAAAAACGAGTAGTAAGAAAAAATGTAATTATAACCATATTTTCATAACACTATATTTCATAGTAAAGTATGTGATTTTGAAAAATTCTAAGATTAGCGAGTCGGGTAGGTTGCGTTCGAGTTCGATTAGGTTTGACCCTATTTAAGTAGGTCATTTCGAGTTCGGTCATCAAAACACTTATTCAAAACTCAGTATATTCGATTCGAGATTTAAGTCAAAAATAGATCAGGACATTTTTTGCCACGTCTACTCCATCTGTTCCTAAAAATTTGCTACAATTTGACTTTTTTGGTCAAACTATAGTACCTTTTGACCGCAAATTGTAGACAAAATATATTTAGTTACTCCCTCCGTCCGGAAATATTCTTCCCATTTTCCTTTTTGGTCCGTCCGGAAATAATCTTCCCATTTCCTTTTTTAGTATGCTTTTTAAGGCTAAATATCAATAATACTCTTCTATTTTATCACAAATCTACTTTTTTAATACTTTTTTGATAATAAAAGGAGATTTAAAAGTTTATAGTATGTGCATTTTTGAAAATTTTGCATTTTTTTTACGATTTCTTAATAAGCGTGCCAAGTCAAAACGGAAAGAACATTTTCGGACGGAGGGAGTATAATATAAACTTAGTAAAATTGTATTTATCTTAATATATAATTTTGAAATACCACATTTTTTTACTCCCTCCGTTCTAAATTAAATTGTCTGTTTAATATTCACATAGTCAAATTTCATTCATTTTTTCCCTCTTTTTTATAGTCATTTGATGAAATAAAATGATCATCATTCGGTCATCATTTTTAAACTTGACATGTTTAATATCCAGTTTGAATGAAAAAAATTAAACTAAACGAATATTTTGAGACAGAGGTACTATGTGTTGGCACTCTAAGATTTAGTATAGCGGTAATATAGTTTTACACAAAGAGAACTTTAAAAAGCTCAAATATTATGTCTTGTAAATTACATGCAGAGAATATTGCAGTACAAGAGCAGAAAAGTGACTCATATATGCTCTTTATTGTGATTAAGAAGGGATTATTACTCTGAGACTGTTGGAGTGGTTACTGCAGCTCCTTCAGAAAATCCTCATTGTCAACCAGAACCTGTTGCAGAAATGGACATGGACAAAAACACAAAAATCTCATCCATCTCAAAATATAGATATGTATATATATATACACCACTTATATCTTTTGGCAGTAAATGATGATCCCTTGCCTAATATGTTCACAAAAAATGATGAAAATATCTCGCTACTCTACAAAAAAATCCATCGAATTATACAGATTTTGATGTCGATGTGTTTATGAAACTTCTCTAGAATCTTAGAGTAGAAATGTGAGTATATTGCATATCAAAATGCTCATGCCCAAGGGTATCTTACACTTGGTGATCTCGGCAAATCTCATTATCTTTTTTCTGAAAAAAACTTACAAAATGTAGTTTTGTTTTGCACATTTTTATCTGATACCAAAATATTTTTAACATGATCAAAAGTATAGTAAGAGAACTGACCGTCTTCCAACCATCGGGGTCAAGGAAAGAAGTTATTTTGGTATTGATCCCTGGAATGGGACCAGGTTGTCGAGTGATCTTCCCGCCAAGCTCTTGAGTCACAAGGTTAACAACCTCTGCACTTTTGTACACATCATCTGTGCCTATGGCAACCTTTATAAATCATGAAACTTTTATTATGCCATGAATATAAAGAGTAATCTGGAAAATTTGAAATAAGAGGATCGAAAGTGTGACCCCACACGAATAAGTGGATAGTGTGAGACATTTCTCTTGGTTAGGAACTTTGGCTTTTTTTATTTTGGGGGGGGGGGGGGGGGGGGGGGGGGG